AAATTTTCTGAACAGCGAACAAAATTTTTCTCATTGCGCGTTCAACGCGCTCACTATTCTGTTAGCGGTGATAATCAGATTCTTGAGGTGGCCAAAAATTTGAAGTTGGTATCGATATCCCCAAGCTATACAGTTGATATATCGATATTTTATTCGATCTAAATGAAAAGTGGGGCCATACTGGCCATTTAAATATAGTTGCCAAAAATAAAAACAAAAAACTGATTAGTAAACGTACAATACGAGCATTACAATATAAAATTAAACTTTTAACGATGTGTTTAGGGAAACGTTTTTAATGGAGATTTAGTCGAAATTTCGTTATATCTTAAAATTATAAATTTCCAGCGAAAATTAAACAAGAAAACACTGCAGAGAGCTTGCGGCAAATAACATACGTTGAACTTTAAACAAAACAAAAAACTTAACTCAGCTTAACTCTTAAAGCGCGCAAATTACCCTGGAATTTATGCTACATCTTTTCTAAACGGTCTTACTGTTTGCGGTATTGTCAATGCAATCCAGCTTGGTCACACTGTACAGACGTGTCATTTGACGACTGCTGTAAATACATAAGTTTTTAAACTCGCGGCATTTAATGGTGCAATTGACCGCTGTGTATTATAATTGGAACTAGCCAAAGACATCCTCAACGTTGGCATCCAGCATATTGGATACAAATATTAGAAACGCGCGCAGTTACAAGCTGCTAGGGTGCCAAACATCAGCTGGGGGCCCAGCCGATTTGGAAAAAAAAGACCACACCAAAACCCAAACCCAACGCTGCTTTTGTAAATAATTAGGGGGTCGGCGCTGCGGCAGCAACAACTACTTTTCAAATGGCGGGTCAAAAATTTCAATACGATGAGAGCGGCGGCACGTTTTATTACTTTGTGCTATCGTTTTTAGCATTGGTATTGATACCAACAACGATTTACTATTGGCCACGTAAAAAGAAAGAAGGTTAGTGTCGCCGATTGTAATCAGACTGCAGCTCTCTCTTTAACTCTGTGCGTGTATGCGTGCCTGTGTGTTTGTGTTTGTGTGTGTGTGAGTGTTTTTCCCAAATACAAACATGTGTTGCAAATGGACACGTTCCATTAAGTTATTCTAACAGTGTTGTCAATTGAGCGCTCAACAGTGTTGGTGAAAGCTGTGACTGCTGCAACAACAACAACAACAACAGCTTAAGCCAGCTCACTTCACAAATGGAACACACACACACACACACACACATGCATACACCTTAAAGAGAGACAAGCACATGCAGAGCTCTCGCGATCTCTCGCTCTCACTCTCTCTCCCAACGCATGCGATTCTAATCTCTGCCCTCTTTTCGCACAGATCTCGGCAAACAGAAGGATGAATGCCAATGTCCGGATTGCTTGAAGAAGAAGATCATTTTGGCCAATGCAGAGCCTTATCGCACACTCAAATCGCTGGCCATCAAGCTGGCGATTGTGCTCGGCTGGGCGCTGCTTCTGTTCCTCACCTATCGCGTCTCCCAGTTCGACTACGAGATGGCAAGCTTTGATCCCTTCGAGATATTGAATGTGCCGCCGACAGCAACGCAGGCGGAGATCAAGAAGGCCTACTACAAGCTGTCCAAGGTACTCCATCCCGATAAGGAGACGGGCGATGAGAAGTCCTTCATGATGCTGAGCAAAGCCTATCAGGCGCTTACCGATGATGTGGCCAAGGAGAACTATGAGAAATACGGCAATCCCGATGGCCCCGGTGCCATGTCCTTCGGCATTGCGTTGCCCTCGTGGATTGTCGAGAAGGAGAACAGCGTTTGGGTCCTCGGTCTCTATGGACTGGTCTTTATGGTGGCCATGCCCTCCGCTGTCGGCGTCTGGTGGTATCGCTCCATACGCTTCAGCGGCGACAAAGTCCTGCTGGACACCACCCAAATGTACTTCTATTTCATACACAAGACACCCCACATGCTGCTCAAACGCGCCCTGATGGTGCTGGCGGCCAGTCTGGAGTTTGACAAGCGCCACAATTCGCAGGTGGTGGAGCGCCAGTCGGATAACGACGAGGTCCCGGCGGTACGTATGGAAAATTCTGTCAACATAAATGTACACTTCACGATAACAGCTGTAACCTAACAGTGTGCTAGCAGAGCTGTTGCAGAGTGTAAACATATATGTACACTTTATGATAACAGTTGTTACTTAATACTGCGATAGCAGAACTGTTAAGTTCATAACAGCTGTAACATTACAACGCGCGGGCAGAGCTTTTAAATCATTAGACATTACCTCTGTTTCTCTGTTTCAATTTCCTGCACAGCCTAACTACACTTCCTGTGAACAGATGTAAACTAACAGCAATGTTAAATCCTTAGACATTACTCACATTTGTTAATTATTTAAATTTCTGGCACAGCTTATGTACAACTCATGTTAACAGCTGTGAACTAACAGCGCGCTAGCAGAGCTGTTAAATCCTTACACATCGCTAACATTTCTTAATTATTTCAAATCCCTGCACAGCCTATCTACACTTCATGTTAACAGCAGTAAGCTAACAGTGAGCTAGCAGCACTGTCAACATTTTTAACATTTCTCAGCTATGTCACTTTGCTGCACAGCTTATGTACACTTCATGTTAACAGCTGTAAACTAACAGCACTGTTAAATCCTCAAACATAACTAACATTTCTGAATTATTTCAATTTCCCGCACAGCTCATTCGGCAGCTGCCCAATCTCAACGAGAAGTGCAAGGAGCATCCGCTCTGCCGCATGTATTCCATTAAGGCGCGCGCCATTCTGCACGCCCATCTCTCACGCATTCCACTCAATCCGGATACGCTGGAGCGCGATCGTCAGTTTATTGTGAAGAAGTGTCCGTATCTGGTGCAGGAGATGGTCAGCTGTGTCCATCAGCTGGTGATGATGGCCTACGCCCGTCGTGTGCCCCGGCTGCCCAGCATCGAGACCATCGAGAACTGCATGAAAATGTCGCCAATAATTATCCAGGGCCTGTGGGAGTTCAAGTCGCCGCTGCTGCAGCTGCCCCATCTGACCGAGGATCATTTGTATTTCATGAACAAGAAGCGGCATGTCAAGAACTTGCAACAGTTCGCCCAGCTGAAGCCGGAGGAGAGCCGCATGCTGCTCAAGAATCTGACAGACTTTGAGTACGAGAACATAATGCGTGTCCTGGGCAAGATGCCGCTGATTGACTTTTCCATACGCTGCGAGGTGATCGACGATGAGAACACCAATGTGGTTACGGCTGGTGCGATCGTAACGGTAACCGTGACCCTGGAGCGCAAGGATATGAGAACCTTGTTCGGCGACACAAAGGTGCCCGAGAAGCAGGGCATCAAGGACGAGGCCAACGAGGAGGCAGCACCGGGCGATGAGGATGAAACAGCCGCTGCCGCCGCCGCCGCTGCTGCGGTGCCCGTCAAGAAGGCCTCCGCCTGGGCCAAGCCGCGCAAGGGCGGCAAGGGCAAGGGCGGCAAGAAGCCGGCCAACAATCAGAAGAAGAAGACACAGCCCAAGCCGGCAGCCGTGGCAGCCACCGTCTCGACTACGACAACCACGAACACGACGGATGAACAAACGGCAGCCAATTCGGATGCCGAATCGGAGGCCGGCGAGCAGCACAGCGATGTGGAGTCTGCAGCCGGCTCCGGTTCCGAGGATGAGGATAAGCAAAACAAAAACAATTCCTCGCTGGACGACGATGATGACGAGGAATGGGAACGGCTGCAGGCCAAGCTAAACAAGCGGGAACGACTCGAGGGCAAATCCCGTATGTCGCACACGGTGCACTGTCCGTTCTTTCCCGAGGAGAAGCAGGAATACTGGTGGACATACATATGCGATCGCAAATCGCGCACGCTACTGACGGCGCCCTACCATGTCACAAATCTTGTCGAGAAGGAGGAGATACAGCTTAAGTTTACGGCGCCGCGTTGGCCCGGTGTCTACACGTTTACGGTCTGCCTGAGATCCGGTGAGTGCGCCCCCCCTCCCCCCATCCCAGCCGTAACATCCATTAATTGATGTTGTATCTTTTCCTTGACAGACTCGTATCTGGGCATGGATCAGCAGCAGGAGCTGAAGCTGGACGTGCAAAAGGCGCCCGCACCGCCCACAGATCATCCCCAATGGGATCTCAGCGAATCGGAGCCGGAGCACAATGATCAGCAGGAGAATCTAAGCGATTACACAACCGACACATCCGACGAGGAGGACAGCGATTAGACATCCACACACACAGAGAGAGAGAGAGAGAGAGAGGGAGAGAGTGAGAGCGAGAGTTTCTCATGACATTGAGCGAATTTCGAACCCCTCCACAGAACAATCGTCTTTTAATCTCCCGAGTTTTTGATTTTGTTTTGCCCCATCATTATTTTATTTTTATTTTATTTTTTTTTTAATTAGTAAATGATTTTGCGTTGCGAAAACCATTCGCATATTCTTTTTTAACTAGTTTTTGTAATTAAAGCAAACAAACAGACAAACGAACATGGATAAAGAGCCCGAAACTAGAGCGTAAATAAATAAGTAAAAGAATACTTCATTTTAATGTCTCTGTACTAAAACGTAATTATATAAATGTACTGTATATTTAATTATTTGGATACAAACGAAACGAAAAGAAACATAGAATATAAAGAGAAAACAAAACAAAAACAAAAAGCAAAAAAAAAAAAAAAAGCGATTTTTCAAAATAAAAACAAGAAGTTGAGATAACGGTGACTTTTCCACTTCTTCCTCTTCCTCTTCTTATCCTTCTACTGCGCAGCTGCTTCGCGTTCGCTGTCCAAAAGCTGAGCCGAAGTCGAGCTGGTTCCGGCTCCGGTTCCAATCGGAACTCTAGCTGGAACCGGAGCGACTGTTGTTCTTTTTGCTGCTGTTTTTAGCTGTGGAAGAAAGTTCATGCGTGAATTCTGTTTGCTTTGCGCACATTTTCTCATTACCCTCCACCAGAGAATTTTTGTTTTATTAGTAATTTCTTTGGTTTTGTTGCTTCTTTTTTTTTTTCTTATTTACAATACATGTTCACTATTTGCTAATGTGTGCGTGTATGCATGTGTGTGTGTGTGTGTGGGCGAGGCGGTTTTTTCTTTATGTGTGTGTGTGTGTGTGCGTGGGTTTGGTTCATTGTGCTGTGGTTCATTTTGTTCGTAAGTTGTGGTTCGTCGGTTCTTTGGCATTTTATGCACTCCATTTCTTTATTTTTTAGTTACTCCTCTTTGTTCGAATCAGTTTCTTCTGGGTTTTCAGATTCTTCTACTTTACCTTCCTTAGATTCTTCTACTTTATCTTCCTTTGTTTTTTCTGCATCTTTCGTAGTTTCTTCTACTTTAACTTCCTCTGTTTCTTCTTCTACTTTATCTTCTTCGGTTTTTTCTTTCGATTCTTCCTCCACTTTCTCTTCTGTTTTTTCTTTCGATGTTTCCTGCACCTTCTCTTCTGTTTTTTCTTTCGATTCTTCCTCAACTTTCTCTTCTGTTTTTTCTTTCGATTCTTCCTCAACTTTGTCGTCTGCATTATCTTTAGAAACTTCAACCTTATCATCGGAACTGTCTTGTGATTCTTCAACTTCTTTCTTTTCTTCCTCGACTTCTTGCTGCTGCTCTTCTGTTGTAGAAACATCGGTTTTGCTTTTTTCTTCAGTTGCTTCGGCGGCTTTTACTCTATCTTCCGTTTTTTCCTTGTCTGATTCTTCCACCTCCTCTTCCTCTTTCTCTGATTCTTCCACCTCTTCGGCTGTTGCGCTTTCGGAAGTTTCTTTCGGTTCTTCTGCAGCAGCAGATTCTTCGACTTTTTCTTTCTCTTTTTCCGCTGAGGAGTCTTCCGGTTTCTTTTCCTCTGGAGTTGAATCGGCGGTGGATTTTTCTTCAGTTTCTTTTTGTTCTTCTCCCTTTACTTCAGTTTCTTTGTCTACCTCTTCTGACTTATCTTCAGTTTTATCATTCTTATTCTCTTCACCGTCTTTCGGTTTCTCCTTCGTTTCGTCTTCGGCATTTGCAGACTTTTCTTCTTTAGACTTTTCCTTCGGCTCGTCTCCCGAATTCTCCGCAGTTTCTTTCGTTTCCTTACCTTCACCCTCTTTCTCATCGGTTCCCTTTGCATCATTCTCTTTCTCATCATCCGCTTTGTCTGCCTCGGCATCGGGGAAAAGTTTTGATTAGTGTCCCAAGGGATCGCAACCTTTACATTACCTGTGGATGTCGCTTTCTTCTCTTCGGATTCGGATTCTCCAGCGGTTTCAGTCTGTTGTTGGGATTGGTGTTTAAATTGCGGATGTGGTGCATTTCAGTGAGTGTATTGTTGTTTTGGGGTGTGGCAGGGGATGGTAAAAATGGTTAAATGTATATACAAAATCGGTAAGAATTCTCTAAAACTATGCAAATCAGCTTTAACTTTACAGCAGAAACGTGCCTGATTAGCTGCTCGATCGCATTTACAGGTCTAATGTTAACATTCGAGCATGCATTGTACAACATTTACGTTTTACCTTTTCTTCACTATTCTCATCTTTTTTGTCTGCATCCTCGTCCTCTTTAGCTGCTTGCTCCTTATCTTCGCTCGTTTGCTCGCCATCTTCTTCCTTTTGCTTTGAAAATGGACGAGCGCAAAATGTTAACATTGGCATTTACACAATCGAACGCTGTTATCTTACATGCGCTGTTAAACAACTGCTAAACGCTGGAGCTTCTGAGACGCGGCGTGTGTTTAGTGTGGGTTATAAAAGCTTTTGGTTTTTTTTTTTTTTTTAGTAAATACAAATATATTTCGTTTTTATTAAATATGTACTTATATATTCAGCGGATTTTTATGTTTTCGCATTAACATAACTCAGCCGCACAAATCGTACAGATCATAGTTAAATACACTCTATTCAATTTAGTATTAAATTAATATGCAATTTTGAGTGAGTGTGTGTGTGTGTGTGTGTGTTTCACAACAAAATGTTACCAGATATACAAAAGTGTGTGAGTGTATTATTATAAATAAATATGCATTTTGATTAAAAGTTGTAATTTTTACCGCAGCGTGAACACAATCACTTCATAAAATTAGTGTGTAGTATGCAAAATAAATATATATATATATATATATATATATATATACGCTTTATATATAAATATCGTAGCTTAACTTAAAGAACCGCAGTCGTGGTAACATAGAAGCTCGAACAAACCGTTATATTGCGCCCAATTGCCGAAATGCTGTTAGTGTACATTTTGATGTTATTGCTACTGTTAACTTGGCTGGCGTCGAACTTGCATTGCGTCTCATTAGTAGAAGTTGCTGTTAATGTTAATGTTATTGTTGTTGTCATTGTGGTTGCTTCTGTGCAGGCTTATTGTTGTTGTTGTTGTGTTGTTGTTGTTGTTGTCGCGTCATAACAGTAAACAGAAAAGTACAAATTGCTCAAAGCTCTCAAACCTCTGGATTCTCCTTCTTCTTGTCCGCCTCGTCCGTTTCCTCGGCAGCGCCAGCTGCATCAGCATCAGCTTCAGCTGCAGCTTCAGTTTCACCCTCCGCTGGAGCCTTCTTCTCCTCCTCCTTGGCGACGCCGTTCTCCTGCTTCAGTTCGATTTGAGCACTGCTCACAGCCGTTGTATCAGCTGGCGCCAGCTTGAGGAACACCTCCAGCGTATCAATCTCGTTGGCCATATCGAAGGCATCGTAATCACCGCAATATTCATCATCGTTGAAGATCTGCGGCGGCAATGGATGTCTCGGCTCTGGATCGCTGACTGTGCCGCCATTGCTAGTCGATTTGTTTTGCATCAGCTCCTTTTCGCCCTCCTTGCCGGGCTCTGTGATGTCAACGGTATCGTACTGAATGTTCTTGCTGTCCAGGATCATCAAAACGCGCTGTTGGCGTTTTTTCACCTAAAATCGCACGTAACAGTATTAAGTTTTGCCGTTAATTTGATTAGCTGGTGCAGCCCTGGTTTTCAAATGCCGGCAAGCCTAAACATGAGCACACACACACACACACAGAGACAAACTATCTCTCACTCGCACTTCCAGCACTTATCAGTGCATGCTTGTAATTAATTTTTGATAAACTGTTGTTTTTATTTATTGCCTATATACTCACACATACAACAATGTGTACATACCCTATTTTAGAAGCTGACAGTCTCAAAAGTCTACAACAATAAACAACGGAACATAAATCGCATTTAAGCTTTGCTCTTCCCTCCAGCCCCCTTCATCTACGGGCGTTGCCGTTGTTGCTTTTGCACAATGACCGTTGTTTGAGTTCTTATTGGCAAAGGCGAATCAAACAAAGAGAGGGAAAAATAAGAGTGTCACACAAATGAATCATGCAGACGAACACACACACACACACACACACACTTACAAGCCCGTACTCACGCATGATCAATGAATTCGCTTACACAGACAAACAAATAAGCTTATATGGAAATGTTTGCGGTCGTTGCGCTGCTTCTTGCCACCACCATCAAAACGCTCGCACACACACATACACATATGCGTATGCCAATCAAAATACCCACTTGCTGTTCTGTTTTGTTGGGAGAGGCCAAACGCTAAAGAGATGACGTTTCGACTGTACGTACTACATCATCATTCACACACACACACACAGGCATACATTCAAGCGCAAAAACAAACAAAAGGAATGTGCATAAAATAGAATATGCAATATGGTATTTCCTTGTGTCTGTTTCGCTAACTAGGCAAGCATTCCATTAACATTACACCGACTCCTACAATTCAATCAGACAGACAGAAAGACACACACGCACACATGCATACATGTACGTGCATTTGTCATGATGTGTGTGCTTTTCAGCTGCCCCGCCCACACCGTAAATGCAGCACTCACCTCCTTGTTGCCGGACATGCCGCTGACGTACACTTTCAATACCATTTTTGCAATTAATTATGCGCCGTTGGTCTTTAATTTAAAGCTTTATTGGTTGCGCGAAATAAAATTGACTTTCACGACGATAAAAATATTTTTAGAACTTTCTTTCTTTGCTCTGCTTTTTGCTGTGTCTGTTCTTGGCCCCTACCGCGATACGTAATGTTGTTTAAAAATATGCACGCACTGGGCTAATCGTTGACATACGCTGTAAATTGGCTGTGAAAGCGTATACGAAATGTGTACTATAAAAGTGTAAAAATATTTGATAATATAAATCGCACAAATTCACTTCGAGCTCTGCCTTTTATGCCTACTTTATTCGTTCGATCCAGTGTGACCGAATTGAGGCTGGGTAAAAATACGAATATTTAAGACGTAAAATACTAACTATTGAAACTTGAGCAATTCACTTGGTGGGAATTCAATATTTGTGTAAGCAATATTTTTAAGCACCATTTTCATCGCATGAGTGAATTGCAAATTGCTTTCCCAATAGATTAGCCTGTTTTATTGTTGAACAAACACCCTAAGCATATATAACAAGATTTTGGTTTTGTGGAATGAAATGATTTTAAATCCGAAATTTGCTTAGCAAGCAATACATTTAAAAGAGCTGCATACCAAACGTAACATGTTCGGTTAATCGATAATTCGTAGCGTCGATAGCAGGGCTGCATCTGTGATAACGGCGTGGAAATTGTCGTTTTGCCATCGCTAAACTCTCCTCTCTGTTCACGAATCGTCGTCACGCATGCATCGGTCGTCCATTTTTCGTAAGAGTTCGACAAAAAACTGAAAATTACATCGCAAAAAGACAGAAATTTCACAAATCAAATACTTTGTAACAACTTTCAAACAACAGCACAGTGCATTTCAGTGGCCTTTGAAATACTGCTCAATCCAATAAGCAATAGCAATACAATTAGTTTTACAATTCAACTGAATCTGAAACGTTCGTGCGTATGTACAAAAAAAAATAAATAAAACGCGTGTGAAGTGGTGCAGAAATTAAATCGGAAGCAAACATCAATCAATGTAAGTGCAATTGTGAGCAACAATGTCGCAGCTTGTCATTTTTTTCTTTAATGAAATCTTAAGAGCCCTGATAATGATATGCGTTGCGACCATTTTTAAAAATTTCACGAAATCAAAATTCCAACTCACAGCTGCAAGTGTGTGTGTGTGTGTCTGTGTGTGTGTGTGTGTGCTTGTGCGAGAGAGCGAGACAACCATTCAGCGTATAAGCTGCTGTCATTTTATTTTCTTTGAAACGAATCTCTTCTTTTTTTTTATTTTTGCTTTTGGCATGGCGTTCGTCACGTAAAAAAAGCACTAATAATTCATAATTAAAAATCTTTTAAATACTGTAAATGACGACAGAACACAAACGCGCAAGCTACACACGCATGCCCATACAAATGTAATTTGGGTTCATTAGCAGCATGTGCGTGTGTGTGTGTGTGTGTGCATTAGTGAGACAGCGTTACTGTGTAAAAACAGCTGGTACAGCTCGAAGGATACGCATACGCGGTTTTATTGTAGTTTAGTAGTGTGCATGTGTGTGTGTGTGCGCGTGTGTGTTTGGTGGTTGACTCGCCTCGCTTGTAGTTTTCTTTGCCTTTTGGTCTCTTCCTTGCGTGTGTGCATTGCTATGCACGTACTGTTCTTGTTCTTCTTGCTGTTGTTGTTGTTGTAGCAGTAGTAGTGTTGGAAAGTTGTTGTTGCTGGCTTGTGGCGAACACTCCCTTTAATTGGGCATCGCCGCTTCGGTTTCTTTTTAATGCCCTATCCGTAGCAGAGGCAGCAGCTGCCAAGCCATAAATCGCTGCACCATTTTCTTTTATACTGTGCAAGTGTGTGCCTGTGCCGAGTGTGTGTGTGTGTGTGTGTGTGTGTCAGGTGAATCCTGTTTTCCTTGAAACCAGTTTGACATTTTTTAATTTCATATAGTCTCAGTTGGCCGCGCTTCTCTAGTTTCTGCAATTGATTGTACTCCATATTTGTTTCCCTTTTTTCATTCACAGCGAACGCTTCCAAACAAACTGTGTGGCAATAATAAGCAAAAATAAATCAAATAAACTAAGAAACAATAAATTTAAGAACTAAGCTATTAAATATATATATATATAAAGATATATTATTATATTTGGAGCAAGTTAACGGAGCACATTTATATCATAAATATGGCATGTGCAACACTGAAACGCGCCTTGGACTGGGAGTCGCTCAATCAGCGCCCAACGAAACGTCGTCGCTGCAATCCTTTCGGGCAATCCGGCAGCAGCTCGCCCTCGCGCAGCGGCAGCAACGATGCCGCCAATAACAGCTCGACGACGCCTTGTAATCGCTATGCCAAAGACAGCAATGAGCCCAGTCCGTTCCTGGAGTCTACATTGGCCAAGATGTCGCCAGGTAAGCCAGCATCATGCATTAATATGCCCCCTGCCCTGGCATCTGTCATCTGATGCGTTCGCTTGTTGTATTTGCAGATAAAATGGCTGAGAATTTGTGCAATGAAATCAAAAGACTGCACAAGCGTAAGCAATTGCCCATTACATCGGCCGCATTGGAGCGTATGCAGGACTCGGAGTCGAGCGGTTCCGAAATGGGACCGGAGAGTCCGCATCGCCCGGATAGCCCACCGAGTCATCTGATGATGCGCCATCATGGCGAGAAGGCCTTGTTCACATTCAAACAGGTGCAGCTAATATGCGAGGGCATGATCAAGGAGCGCGAGGATCAGCTGCGCGAACGCTACGAATCGGTGCTGACCAACAAATTGGCCGAGCAATATGATGCCTTCGTGAAATTCACGTACGATCAGATCCAGCGTCGTTACGAGGCAGCGCCCAGCTGTAAGTCATCGAATATCTGCACTTATTTCGTTTATTAATCGCATATCCTTTCAGATTTGTCGTAAGGCAGCCCAAATTCTCACTATGAAATGCACTACGATCTTATGTGACGGTGGTTCCAGCCGCAACAGAAAATGCTAAAAGAAAGAAAAAACAACAACAACAACAACATAGAAGCCCTCATTTAAAAAACAAAAAAAAAAAAACAACTGCATTGTGTTTATTATATATTTTGAAATATAAAAGAGTTATAGTTTAAAACTAGAATAACATATATAAAAAAAAAAAAAAAAACAAAAAACAAACAAAAAAATGTATTGAAAAAGCAACAAAGCGCGAAGAAATAGTTTACGGCTTAAGCGCAAAGCAAACAACAAACAACAAACAAACAAAAGAAAACAAACTTGTTACAATTTACGTTTTCACATAACGAAAATTCTAAATAAAAATGACAAATATCTTATATAGGACGTATGAACAATACTACACAGAAAGCTAATATATAAACAAAATCCACTGCAAAAGGTGCAACAAAAACAGATCTATAAGGAAAAAACAAGGCAAAATAACACACACATACACACACATGCACACACACACACAATTCAATGAAACCTCAACAGTAGCTTCGTATATATGAAAAGCAAAAGCAAAACAAAAAAAAAAAAAATTGGTAAAACAAAAAAGTATATATGTTAGGTAAATAGCGTATAAGTTCTAATTGTAAAAGGTATCAAAACTATATTGTATTTCGAAATAGCAATGATGAGAGATGACGAAACTAAAAAGAGCAAGAAAAAATGAACTACTCATGAAATAACTTTTTCATAGTTTATTTTTGCATAATCATTTTCCTAAACACAATTGAAGTGAGTGAACAGCATCTGTATAAAAAACGGAAAGAAGAAAAAAAAAAAAAAAGAAAAAGAAAAGAGAGAAATAAGTATGAATCTTAATCAAATATGAATTTGTTTTTCTTTGATCGTTTGTTAATTGTTTCTTCCTTTGATGTACATTTTTGCAAAGTAATGAAAACACCAGAATAATAATAATTCGTTTGCAATCTTGAAATTGCTTTAAAAAAAAACAAGAAAACAGAAAATTTATGATTTAAGTCATATTGAACGCTTTCATATATAAATATATATATATATATATTCACGCTTGAGAAGACGTTTCATGTTCATTATAAATATTTTTCACTTGATATATACACACATCTATTTTTCAATTGCCGAGATCATAAAATACTTTACATTAGTAATTTAAACTTAATATTAGTAAAGAAATGCCATTTTTATATTAAAATAAAAAGAAAAAGCGATGAATTGAGGAAACCAAATGGTAGTTTTCACTCAAATTAACAAAACCTGAACATATACAACATTTTTAACTATATTCAAAGTTGGCGCAAAGTTACAAGACCGTTTACATAGTGTTAAGCTGTGTCACTGTTACAGGCAGCGTGAAGTTGGCTGCGCGCAGCTCAACGCTCACGTGAACTTGGCCGCACTCCACACATAACAGCGCTGCTCCACATGGCACAGTCAACATGCGCCTGTTAACACTGGCACAATAAGAAGCAGACAACACACAACAAGCAGTCGCTGGAATTTCGAGAGCAACTAAATTGAACGTGTGTGTTTTGAACAACAAATATTGAAACTCAATATTATGTGCCGCTGTATACCCAAAGCGTAAACGGCACGGCCTGCGCTTAAAATGCAGCAGCCGTTAAACCCAAACGCAAATCCAGACAATAGCCATCCAAATTTATTGATAATCGCTTAAAACTCCAACAAAAAAAAAAGAAATATATATATAAAAAAAAAGTGAGAGAGAGAAAAGAAAGCTACCAAAATGTGCGACGAAGAATGTGAAACTTGTGACACGGTGACTCAACGGGCGGTGCAGGCCTCGCCGGCCCAGCCAGAAGTGGCCCTAGCCGCAACCCAAACGGATGTCCCATTCTGGGAGCAAAAAGTTCAAAACAAAAACCCGCAAAGCAAACAGATAGCAACGCCGGATGTGCTGCGTCTGGCCAGCTGGCAGCTGGACGATGTCCAGCAATGGATGGGCACCGTGGAGCCCTATTCGGATGAGCTGCGCGATTGTCTGCTCAACGAGGCCATTGACGGCCAGGTGCTGCTCACCCTGACGGAGCAGGATGTGCGCGACATGCGCTACAAGTTGAACTACAAGCTCACCTTTGGCGAAATGAAAAAGTTCTGGCTAACGGTATACAATATGCAGTTATTGTGGCGACAGAAACAGCAGCAGCAGCAGCAGCAGACGCAGCAGCAGCAGCTGCCGGCGCAGAAGGTGCTCTTGAATGGCGGCCCAGCCGTCTCATCGTCGCCTCTGGTGCTGGGCATTTCCAGTAATTTGGCTACTCCGACATCGCTTGGCAATGTTTTTTTAACCTCCAATGTGGCTGTCGAGACGTGTCCCTGTCCGGAGGCACAGGACATGTCCGATGCACAGCAGGAGAAGAGCAAGCTATTGGAGGCGCCCGAATATTTTAAGACCGCAATCAGTTTAGGTGAGCATTTCGGTAACATGGGTCAATTTGTGGGTCTAATCGGTCGCTTGATCAATTATAAATAACCTTGATTTCATTCATATATCTTTATCTAATTGGATTCCCATTGCCTTATCAGTTTTCCAATTTGAACGCATGCACATTCATATGTGCGTGTGTGTGTGTACGTCACTTTAATTATGAATTTAGTTACAGTTTTATTACGCCAGTGACGCGCGCTGCTGCTGTTATTTCGATTTGGAGGTTAAGCAGCATACATATGTAAATGCATGTGTCTCTCTCCCACTCACGTTCTCTATGTTTTGTTTGCTGCATGTGCTTGTATATTTGTTGTTGTTTTCTTTTTATATATACGTTTTTGTGTAACTTTGCGTGCACAAATTTTCAAGAAGTTGTACACTTCTTTGGCAGTGAGCATGCACACTTTGCCATCGAATTTGTGAGAAAATTTTAAATATATAGAATATATTAAATAAGTGCTTTAGCACGCCTAAGAATATGCCAATCTGTTGCTTAGTAGAAATATTTAATTAAACATTTTTAAGCTTTAAATTAATATATGTATCAATTGTCTTTCTTAGTGACTTAGCCAAGTGTTTACATTAGCATAATTTGTTGTTCGATATAACAGTTTACACTTGTGGTCTCATATTATGTGCCTACATCGAATTGCAAACAGTCACGTCCCCCAGCAAGTGTTCCAGCTCAGTTGGCATCATCAGGTTTTCTGCCGAATGTGCTGTGAGACTTAATTACATTTGTTTATTTATGTCTCAATTGCGTCCCATTGCAGGCTACTCTTTCATGGTCACTTGGATAACATCGTTTGTGATGGTGATCGTGCACGAGCGTGTGCCTGATATGAAACGTTATCCCCCACTGCCGGATATATTTCTCGATAATGTGCCGCACATACCCTGGGCTTTTAATATGTGCGAAATAACCGGTTCGCTATTGTTCACCATTTGGCTGGTTGTCCTAATCTTCCACAAATACCGGATGGTCCTGTTGCGACGTTTCTTTGCACTGGCCGGCACCGTGTTCCTGCTCCGGTGCGTCACCATGCTGATCACATCGCTGAGTGTGCCGGGCACACATTTGCAGTGCAACCAGAAGGACTTTGCCATCGATGATCCGACTGTGGATGTGTTTGGCGCCCTGGTCATACGGATGACGCGCGCCTATCGCATCTGGAGCGGCCTGGGCATGTCCATACAGGGTGTGCGCACGTGCGGCGATTATATGTTCAGCGGTCATACGGTGGCTCTGACTCTCCTCAATTTCTTCATCACGGAATGTGAGTAGAACCGGATTCGGCTTCAATTTAATTGCATTATTTTTCAATATGATTTTCTCACCTTGCAGATACGCCACGCAATCTTTACTTCCTGCACACGCTGACCTGGCTGCTGAACATGTTCGGCATCTTCTTTATACTGGCCGCCCATGAGCATTATTCGATCGATGTGTTTGTTGCCTTTTATATAACCTCACGGCTATTTCTCTACTATCACACGCTGGCCAACAATCGGGCAAGTTTCTGAATAGCTCGTTTAGCTCCTTATCTAATCAAGCATTTGAATCCTTTTAGGCCCTCATGCAGAGCGACTCGACGCGCACACGCATCTGGTTTCCCATGTTTAGCTACTTTGAGAGCTCTGTGGATGGCATTATACCGAATGAATTTGATACGCCTGGCACTCTGATGGATTCACTGGTGCAGCAGATCGTTCGCATCAAGGATCAGGCGGTGTTTATTGCCAATCGGATTTGGTTGGCCAGGCAGCAGGATTCGCAGAGGCCATCATTGGATATATTTCGTAGCTCCGAGCTGGATAACAGAAATCGTGCGATGGGCAGCAATTTATACAGGTCTTCCGCGCAGGCACCGCAACAGTTGAAGCGGCCAACAAAGGATGCAGTTGCCACAGTTGTTGCAACAGATTTGAGAACTTCGTTCACAGAGAAGAAAGTGCTCTGAGTTTGTCCAGCTGTAACACAAAATTCCTTTTTGTCTATCGTCGTTCCATGAATGAATCAAAACATTGCGAAGGCTGATGAAAAACACACACTCACACACTCAGACACGCGAACACACACCGACTGATAATTTGTACTTTTTAAATTGATACTAATACTTTTCCCATTGCAGCACCTGTTTCTGTATTATCATATATATATGTATATATATATATATATATACATGTATAGATCTATGCATATATGTATATACCACTCGTAGTGCCTTTCGGGTAGTCTCAACTTCCACACAGCAGGCCCTCCCTCTCTTAGATAAATAACTGGATGAACGTCAATCAGTCAATTGCATGGAATTTTACTATGAAATGTATTTTTTTTTTTAGCTAATTGATGATAATCCTCATTCCGCTCAGTTTAGTTTTATAATTGAAGACTATTTAATGCATTATTATGTAATTATAAGCATGTACAACAACTTTAAGTTATTTAGTCGTAAGTTACAAAGTTTCTGTTGAACGCACAAATTCAATAAATCAAAATTCAAATGTGAAGTGCAACAAATATTCGAAATCAAATTTTGCCGCGCACTGGCCTACGTAAGATAACTTAATCGATAGTAGTATTTTAATACTGATCTAGTCGATAACGAATAGTCGAACTAAACGGCTGATTTTGCTAGCACATTTTCAATTTATCATTAATCATTTGAAATTCCAACGGTCATAAGTGTACTGCATCAATTATTTGTTTTAATAAGTTATCGAATACGAAGCAACTTTTTTGAATATTTAACGTTTGACGCATTGCGAACACTGTTGCGATATTCGATAATTGGCGTGCAACGAGGCTGGCGATTGCCAATTCTTCTTCTTCCCAAGCGTCGGCGTCGTATTTTTAGCGGTTAACGCGAAATAATTCTCGTGTGAATTTTGGCAGTTCTTAATTTGCCCACACAGAATATGAAGAAAGTCAAACCACTACTGCACGACCATTTGATAACTAATCGTGTTAAGCAGGTAATTATTTAAGGATTTAGCCAGCTGTCACTAGTTAATTAACGACAAACAACCGGCAAGTCAATTGCAAGCGCAAAAAAAAAATAAGAAAAAAAAAAAAAGACAAAAGCAAGGTTAGATTTTGACAGACGATAGCAAATTGTAATTTTTTTTTTCTTCTTTGCATTATCATTTAATGGCAGTATCTGGAGGAGCACATTGACGAAACCTACCTGGATGTGAAGCAGATGACCAAAGAGTTAATGCGCAAATATCCTGAATATTCACGTCGCAAATTCGGACCATTCAGACAACTTGTGCATCAAGGTAAGAGCCGAAAGTAAATATTTGTAATATTACTGCGCATGACATGCCAATGTTACAAATGCCGTTTGCCACATTGCAATTATACATATATTTGGGGCAGCCTATCAAGAGCAGGGCAAAGCCTGCCACATGCGGCCCGGAATGCTAGCCTGGTTTTTGCCTTACCCTAACAAAGTGTATAATCATTTTGTCATGAAATGTGCGAGTCTAGCCTCGTGTAGTTAACATCTACTATATTCCATTATTTGTTATCTTTTCCGGGCTGTGCAGCATTTTCTATCGTTTCGGACAGCTATAACTTGGATAAGGCGAGCAGCTCAGACGACGACGAAGACGAGCTATCTGAAGAAGCAGACGCGCCCAATAACAGCATCATGAACAATTTAATGCAGGGATTGTACAACAATACAACAACAGTTCGCATTGCGCCAGCCACAAAGCCGACGAGCAGCGAGCCAATTGACATTTCCAGCGGGGATGAAAACGATGATGGGCCCATCAGTCCGGCAAATGGTGGTGGAACTGGTGCCCTTGTTATAGCGCCCGTTAAAGCGCTAAAGCGTCCGCTGGATGCCGTCCAATCGCCGGCCGGCGTGCAGGCCAAGAAATGTAAGTTAATCGACAATTGAATGCATTTGTGACACATTTAAAGATAAAAGCACGCTATTTGAACTCATTGAAGCCTCACGTCAGGATGGCGGTCTGCCGGGCGTTAATTCGGCAACCGGTCAAATGACGCCCAAGAAGTGTGAGTAGCAAAAGATCACAGTCGCTTAGTCCCTTATGAAACCATATTCCTTTGTCTTTTAGTTGTGGCCGTCACGGCTAGCCTGGGCAAGGGCAACTCTGAGGCTGGACCCGGCAAAGAGCCGCCGCATCATGCACCAGCGCACGGCTATCAACAGCATCAACAGCATCAGCAGCATCAGCAGCATGCACAATTTCAGCAGCAGCATTCGCGTGAATTTTCCGAACGCGGTCAGATACGTGTGCGCAAATACAAAAAGGAACTGGAGATCGCACGCACTTCAGAGAGTTTCCGTGATATTGGCGGCATGGATGGCACACTTAAGGAACTCTGCGAAATGCTCATACATATCAAATCACCTGAATTTTATTTCCAACTCGGTTTGCTGCCCTCACGTGGCCTTCTGCTCCACGGACCGCCCGGCTGTGGCAAAACCTATCTGGCACGCGCCATTGCGGGCGTAAGTAGCGGGCAAAACATATTAATTCATGAATATTAATATAAAGAATTTTCACTTTTTAGCAATTGAAAATGCCGCTGCTGGAGGTGCCTGCCACCGAGCTGATTGGCGGCATTTCGGGCGAGTCCGAGGAGCGTATACGCGATGTTTTCGAACAGGCCATTGACAATTCGCCGTGTGTTCTGTTTATTGATGAAATTGATGCCATTGCCGGCAATCGTCAGTGGGCCTCCAAGGATATGGAGCGTCGCATTGTTTCACAGCTCATAACCAGTTTGGATCAGCTGAAGGGCACCGAGTTTGGCCAATCTGTGGTGGTTATTGCGGCCACAACGCGTCCGGATACACTGGATCCGGGTCTGCGGCGCATCGGACGCTTTGATCACGAAATTGCCATACACATTCCTTCGCGCAAGGAGCGCCGTGAGATCCTACGCATTCAGTGCGAGGGTCTGTCCGTTGATCCCAAGCTCAACTACGATAAAATTGCCGAACTGACGCCCGGCTATGTGGGCGCCGATCTGCTGGCCTTGGTCTCGCGTGCCGCCACCATTGCCGTTAAGCGGCGTTCGATGAAAAAGTTCCGGGAGCTGCACGCAGCCAGTGAACTGAACATGACCACTGTCACGCTGGACGATGATGAGCCCAACGATCCCAAGCCGGACGAGCAGGCCAAGAAGAAGACGGATGATGTTGATAAAGCGAGCGCGGAAACCGACAAACCCAGCGCGGAAGTTGCGGACAAGCCAAGCTCGGGAGCCGAAAAGCCAGAAGCCACAAATGGCGAAAAAGCAAATGACGTGAGCGAAGCCGCTGTGCCCATGGAAGTGGAAGGCAAGGCGGATGCTGCTCCAGCAAAAATAACGGAACCTGAGCCCAAGCAGCAAATCGAAACTGTTGCTAAGTCGCCCGTGGAAGCCGATGAGTTTTACGAGCCCACATTGGCCGAGTTGACGAATTTCCTAGACAATCCGCCTGAGGAGTTCGCCGATCCGCATTTCTGTCTGACCTTGGATGACTTTATGGCGGCCATTAAGGTCATGCAGCCGTCGGCCAAACGTGAAGGCTTCATCACTGTGCCAGACACCACCTGGGATGATATTGGCTCCTTGCATGACATACGCGAAGAGTTGAAGCTGGCCGTGCTGGCGCCCGTCAAGTATCCGGAGATGCTGGCACGCCTCGGCCTGGAGGCGCCATCGGGTGTATTGCTCTGCGGCCCACCCGGCTGCGGCAAAACTTTGCTGGCCAAGGCCATTGCCAACGAGGCGGGCATTAACTTTATATCCGTCAAAGGACCCGAATTGATGAACATGGTAAAGTAATCTGTGTATTCCCATTGTCAACTTCCTTAGCTAATGTGCATCTTCCATGTGCAGTATGTGGGCGAGAGTGAGCGTGCGGTGCGCGCTTGTTTCCAGCGCGCCAGAAACTCGGCGCCCTGCGTCATCTTCTTTGATGAGTTCGATTCGTTGTGCCCCAAGCGCTCGGATGGCGGCGATGGCAACAATTCCGGCACGCGTATTGTCAATCAGCTGCTCACCGAAATGGATGGCGTTGAGGAGCGCAAAGGTGTTTATGTGCTGGCGGCCACCAATCGACCGGACATCATAGATCCGGCCATATTGCGTCCGGGCCGCTTGGACACCATATTGTATGTGGGCTTGCCGCAGGAGCAGGAGCGTGTGGACATACTTAAAGCCACCACCAAGGTGAGTAGAGAGAGATAGAGAGAGATAGAGAGAGAGAGAGAAATGAACGTTTGCTGTGAAAATGTACTAATTGCGATTAAACCAAAGGATGGCAAGCGTCCGGTACTGGCCGATGATGTCAATTTTGAGGAGCTGGCCGCCCAAACCGATGGCTATACGGGCGCCGATTTGGCTGGTCTGGTGAAGCAGGCTTCAATGTTTTCGCTGCGCCAATCGCTCAACAACGGCAACACCAAAGTCGACGAACTTTGCGTGTGCAAACAGCATTTCGAGGAGGCGCTCAAGCAGCTGCGTCCCTCAGTTAGCGAGCAGGTAAGCTGTTTCCGGTGCCAGCTGCTGTGACTATATTAATTCTGGTCCATTTAAATTGCTTGACAGGATCGCAAGGTGTACGAGAAGCTGCGCCAGAAGTATGCAGCACCGCGTGTGCCGTCGTTTGAGACCAAGTGAATACCTGAACGCTTGGCACTGTTGTACTAGTATTTAAGAAATCACACACACGCACACACACACCCATACACACCACAGGCATCAATCGGAGAGATTGCGCATATTCCTCATTTGATTAAGAATGTACAAAATGCAGTCCAAATGGAGCAACCAAATACGGAGAAACACCACAACAAACACAAATACCGAATAAAAATGCCCAAGCGAAATAAACTTTGGGACCAAGCCCAGGACGTTTGTCTATACTTTTAATACATATATGTATTCACGCAAACACACACATCGCCTAGTCAGTAGTCAGTCAATTAGGATGGCCCATCGCCGTGTCCATCACGTGTTCTCAGTGGCGCCGTCTTTGCCCGTCGGGCTGGTTGCCGCTTCTGGAGTTCTAGGATTTCAGCATGTTGCGTAAGCAACGAACGCTTGGAACGCTTCTTGATCTTCTTCTTTTGCGGCGATTTCTTTTTACCATCACTGTTGCTGACATTGGAGGGACTATCGCCGCCGCCGGAATTGCTGACACCTGGCGGCTTGGGTGCCATGGGCTCCTCATCACGCCGGATGCGCTGCCTCAAATCGAATGCACTCTTGCACATCTCACGTATGCCGAACCAGCTCTCGTGTCCAATCTGACTGATCATTTCGACGGGCGGCTGGAAGCCCAGCTCGCGCGACGGCAGCTCCATGACCAAAGCCATTGGCGACTTCAATACACCATAGACGTAGTCCACCACGGAGCCGGCAATGGTGCGTTTGGTCAGGCAGCTGATGCTGCCCGTACGATATTCGCGTCCATTGTACGACTTGATGGCGGTCCGTCCGGTTGTAGCCAGTGTGTGCAGTTCGCGCCAATAATACGGCGCCTCACGGCAATAGCCCCAGGGATACATGATGCTCTGGCCGTAGGAGTGTAGCGACAGAAAGAACAACAAGTTCGGCGCCAAGCTGTCCAGTATGTTGCGCATGGCACGTGTCTCTGGCTCCGAGAATGGTCGTTCACCCTTGTACGTGTTGCGATTCGTTTTCGTTGGGCCGCACTCCCAGAATATATCATAGTTCCGGTTGCAATCGGTGCCCACAATCTTGGAGGCCTTATGCGGGCGTCGATTCTTGCGCCAATTGCGATTCTGTGAAAAGAAGAGGGATTAGTAAGAGTCGAGAGGTCAGCTGTGAGTGCCCACCTTGGTGCGCGAGTATTCATAGCCATCGGGATTGACCAGCGGCACAATGATGAAGCGCAGATTGCGCAGCAACTCGATATTCCGCGTATATCGCTCCGTCAGCTGGTAAATGCAATTGAGGCTCGTGCTGACCGTTATCCATTCGCGGGCATGTGTGCCCGCCTCTATGAATATGATATTGCGATTCTTATCGCCCGGCAGCACCATGGGACCTTTGGCGCCGCTGATCTTGTGCTGCTCGGCGTGCTTGGCCGCCTGCATGCGCATCACGGACGACAGCTCCACATTGTCGGCGTTCATCCAATTGATTTCAACGGCGCGCACCTCGCGCTTCTCGTGCGTGATGCCCAGCGTGTAGAGCTTGACGAAATTCGAATATCGATGCACAATATACTCCAAATACTGATTGATCTGGCTGTACTCCAGATAGGTGTGCAGCACATCCGGACGTGGTATGACCATGCGTCGGGTCGCGTGCAACGGTACCGCGATGGCGGTTACCTTGGGCGCAGCTCGCCCTTTTGACTTTTTGGCACGTTTTGTGGTTTGCATATTAATTTAAAAAAATTGGCAACAGAATAGAAAACCAAGAAAAACAGTTAAGAACGGTAAACAATTGGCACTAAAAATTTTTCACACACAACAAATCGGCAAAGTGAATACTAAATGAATTTATATTATTCTTTTTTTTTTAGTACGCCTGCTGGAGCTGCTTCAAATTCGGCCAGGGCCTGCTTGGATGGCTCGAGTATCTCACCTGGCGCTCGACCTGCAGCAGCTGCTCGACAATCACGATACGTGCGAGGCCTTTGGGCCTGCCTGCCATTGTGCCAGCCAAACCGTTTGCCAGCCGGAGTTTTTATCAACATTATGTACATTATGGAAAAGTGGATCATCTATGGTCGTCGGCGTGAGCGGGGGCGTGCATGGAGTTCGCATTTGGTAAATTGGGACAGCGACAACGTTTAATAAGTTGGGCACGGCAGCTTGTAATGCGGAATTGGATTTGTATATCCGTTCTGGTTCGGGGTCTGCAACTGGCGCTGCCACAAAACGCAAATATGCTAAATGTCAGACTGACTGCTTGGGATCCTGCTGCGGGAGTCGGCCAAAAGCGCAGGCACGTGCTATGCAAATAAACAAGCAAGCGTACGGCCAACAAAAGGCTCACAACATTGGCGTGCCGTCCCGGAAACGGAGCAGTTGTAGCCCTCTATGGAACAGGCCTTAAAGCATTCTAGACAAGAAAATTTATTTTGGAGATTGCCTCTAAATAACACTGTGCTACACAGGAATTACCCAAAAATTTGTATGCGTAAAAACCGGTAAGACCTAATTGAATTCATGAGAATCACAGAGTACGGTAATAATGAGAAATACATGTGTATGCAGCGCAGCGTATTTATACATACATACGTACACAACCATATATTCAAACAAACACATACATTCATACGTACACATACTTACACCCAAAAAACATTCATAAATTGATTTAAGCTTGATTAGACTAAAGCTTCAAAGCTTGTGGCGTTACTTGTAAAGACATGAGATTCGCAGAGAAGGGTGTTCTATGAAAAACCTTTTATTTAATACTTTTCGATAACGATCAAAGCCTGTCAAGCCACCTCCACTCAACTCCATGGTAATCGATATATTGAAGCCCGCGTTGTAGGCATAGTCGTGACTGACGCCAGCGGCTATGTACAGAACATTGGTGGTGCTACCCACCTGGTATACCGTACCGGTCGCCTTTTCAATGGCATCTCCACCAGCACGCGCCACGTCATCGAGATCCTGCCAAGTTTCGGGTAAATCGCTGCAATATAAGTCATCTAGATCAAGGCCATAATAAAAAAGAAGTATATTCAGCTACGAACCTGGTCCAACCCCATGGGTAGAGCAAGTAATTGCCATAAGAATGGATGGTCAGGTACATAATGCCGCGATCCGCCAGGGAATGCATCAGATCGCGTACCACAACTGTCTCGGGCTCGGAGAAAGCGTTGGGACCAGCAAATGTATCCACGCAGGGATTCGATGAGGCGCCCTCCTCATTCCAATGGAAGTCAAAATTGCGATTAGGATCGGCGCCATAACAGGTCTGGCCCAGATACTTATAGGGCTGCCGAGTCTTGCGAAATATGCGAGCATAGGTGCCTGTCTGGGTATGCTCATAGCCGTCTGCGTTGACCACTGGCAAAATGACCCAGTCATAGTCCTGCAGCAGATCGGCATTCTCTTCGAACCGTTCCACCAACTGGTCGATGACATACAGCACAGCTGCCGGAGAGATCCATTCGCGAGCATGGAAACCGCCGTCCATGAAGATGAACTTCTTGTTGGCACGACCATCCCCATTGGTGATGGTAATGGTCTTCAGTTCGCGCTTCTCATATGACCAGCCGACAGTCTTGACGAGCACACGCGACGGATAACGAGCGGCCAGGTCATCAATATAGTTGGTGATCTCCTCATGTGAATAGTAGCGCTCCGTGCTGAGGCGACCCTTGCCCGAAATGGATGAGAGGCGTCGCTGCAGCTGCCGCTGGGCAAACTCCGCTGCAATCGTGGCGCCCAGGTTTTCATTTAGCAGACGATGGCTCAACTGCTCTTCCGACAATAAAGCTTCAAAGTTGTCCAGCTGCTCAGGACTCACAATGACGCGCGAAGATTTACCCAACAAACGAGGTAAGCTAAGGAAGTCGTAACCCTGAAGGCTGAGCCTGTGCAGCAGCTCTCCCTGTGCAGATGTGTTAGGTGTGAGTTCGTAGATGCGATAACTGCAAGCAACAGTTGTCAGGACTACTCAGCCGGTAAGGATCCTTGATAGACTCACCCTTCATAGTCTTGATTGGCGGCCACCAGAGCCAAGCCCAACAGCAGTGTCAGCAAGCCCAAACGCGACATGTTTACACGCAACGCGAAATCCCGCACTTATATACCCCAATCATATCTAATCTGAACTCGAAAGCGATCTATAAATTAGAAGCGTATCTATTGTGCAAAACCAAAATCGAAGATGGACTTTATTCTGCCTTTATCATGGGAATTGAATATGGCAAAGTATTGTTATAGATTCCCATTCATTCAATTTGGATATATTCTTTACAAATATATATTTTTAAACTCTTTTAATACCAAGAGCCCTATAATCGTATAAGTAAAGGTTCATAGGAGCAATGGAATGTGGAACAGTTGAATTTCACTTGTGTTAACTTTGCACTGAATTCGGAACAGGTGAGTTTGAAAACAGTTTCGAATACCAATCCAACTATTGTACGCACTTTAAACTACAAAGAATCTATATATATTTCATTACAATTATTTAGATGAAATATGTTTTTGGATGGACAGTGTAACTTGGTGCCCGTCAAATATCATGTCAACGCAAAAGTGAAAAGTGCGGGGTCGGAACAATCGGCGCAGACATGTGTATATAAACAAACCTATATACAGCTATGTATTTACGTAGAGACATCCGAATGCATTTGCAGGAACATCGCCCACGACGCAACCAGTTGATTTATACGGAAAACAAGGTTCGTGTTGATTTTCATTTAACGGTCTTTTAGTCAACTTCCTGACACAGTGACTGCCATATATTTACGTCTAGGCTATATAAGAACGGTACGTCAATATACCCTGTAAAATGTAGGCTATCAGGAAGTGAAACTTAATGCTAGAAATACATTTGATGCTGTTCATATAGTTAAACAGGCTCTAGGATATTTTTTAGGATCTATTTCAAGCATACCCTTAATGCATTGTAGTATGCATTTAAGAAACCTTTTTTGAATGGGCTTCTTTGACAGGCAACCTTTAGGATTGCTCAGTGTAGGCTATCTGCTAGTCTTGAATTTGCTATCATAAATTAAAATTATTCCCTTTGGTTTTTTTTTTTGTTGGTTCTGCTTGCCAGAGACACGCAAGGACTCAGACAGTTCGCCAGTCAGTTGGTCCTGTTAGGGGGCGTTTCTGAAGTATGCACATTATGTCATTAGCATGTTGGTAAAAATAAAAAAGGGCTACCAGTTTTTTTTGGAACGCCAAATAAAAAATTCTTGACTTAAATGTTCCCAGTTGACGTTTGTTCCATTGGGCCTGGCAGCTGTTCCGGGCATTTGATGACGAAATAAAAACGGGCTACGAATTAACAAAATTCCAGCAATTATGCTAAAATAACATAAACGAAAATTGTCAGTTTGGTTTGTTCCAAACCTGCCCCAACATGGAACAACATGGACTCGTACGGGAAAATAGAAATTATAATGCCCGCATATTTATGCATTTTATATGGCAGAGCAATTTAACTTTGTTCTGTAGTTTGGCATAGTTGGATGGCGTATAAAGTTATGTCGTCAATTTGACAGGTAGTTAAGCATTTATGCTGTCTTATTTAACCTACTGCCACAGTCTGGGTAAACATGAACAGTTGTGTCCAAAAAAAGGGGCATACAAACAAAATGTTTAAAGCAAAGATGTTTAACAAGACTAAAGTAGAAAAAATGTTGAGATACCCTTTCTTTCAACAGTTTCGCAGATGTGTAAGCAGCCTAATGATGCTTGTTAATTTTAAGCTTGAGCCATAGAAATATATTATTATATTATATGAAAGACTTTGCTCATATGAGATGAATTCAAGTAATTTGATAGACAGAACATTTGTATATGCACCAGCTATATTTTTTGCGCTTATTCCAAACTATAATCCCAAGGATATACAAATATGTTTCACATATGCATTACAAATATTACTTAAATTCATGAAAATCGCATAGAAAGGCGCATTAATTCATGAGTTTTCATGAATGGATTATGAAAGGAATATTAATCTATTATTATTAATTTATTATTATTATTATTATTAATATTATTATTATTATTATTATTATTATTATTATTATTTTTATTATTATTATTGTTATTATTATTATTTTTACTATTATTATTTTACCTCGTAAATTGGCATTGCATGGTCAACGCTTCCTTTCGAGCCGTGGGGTCTCCTTGTTGTTGTCCAATGTGTTGTCTGGATTGTAGGGCTTCTGGCCTTTGGGGGAATGCCAGCAATCTTCTCCAAATCCTCGATGCGATCGATAAGATCGTCTAGTTTGTCCAGACCCTTGCACGAGTTCAAACATTTGTTTAATTCAGCATCGTTTTCATGCAGGTTCTCGAGTGCATCTTTAAGCCTCGCCTCCAGTTCCGCGATTCGTTGCTCCAGCTCCAATATCTTGTCGGTATCCTTGCGTAGTTTTTTGTGTTGTTTCTCCAGGTCTGTCAGACGCTGCACAATTTTGTCATCCAGCTTGACGGGATCATTATGATTATTATTATTCGATTTGAGCAGCAATTTCTCCAGTTCGTTGAGACGTTGCTCGGCGCGGTTCTTAAATTCTTGCGCATCCTTTTGCCGTTCCGCATTCAGCTTGGCCAGCTCGTCGTACTTTTTGATTAGATCATCCTTGATTTCGTTCAGCTTGTTTTCGTTATCATCGAGATTTTTTTGGATTACCGAAAGCAAATCATTTGTCGCAGCCAGTTTGCCCTGCAGCTGTTTTATGAGCTCATCAACGGCCTGGGCATCGATACCGTCAGTCGTGGGCTTGACAGTCGTGGAACTTGCCGAGTTCAACTTGTCCAGCGCCTCGTTCAGACGCCGCTGCAAATCCTTTAGTGCTGCTTCCAGTTTGGCAATATGATCGCCGTAATTGGCGCCCATTTGGTCAACATTTTGCTGCAGCTGCTCCAGATCTTTGGACAACCTGTCCACGTTCTTGCAGCAGGCCTTGGCCCTATTAACTTCCGCCTTCAATTCGTCCAGTCCTGGACAATTATTCATATCTTGTGGTTCTGGTGTGTTTTGCTTTTCCAACTCTTGCACTGTGGTTTCCATTTTTTTTAGTTCATCATAGAACTGCCGGCAATGGGAAATGCTTGCTGCCAGCTTCACGAGTTTCTCCAGCTGTTCCTTGTGTTCATTTACGGCCTGCTCCAATTGGGTTATTTTCGCCAGCGGACTGTTTTCTGTGCTGTTGCCCTGAAGTAATTGGCTTTCCAGTTTGTTTATTTCACAGGTCTTGTCGCATTTTTCCTTAATTAATTTAATATTCCCAATGCGCCTCTCTGATTCCACTTGGATGTTGTTTATTTGATCCTGCTGCTCTTTTTGTTTATCCTGCAAGTCTTTTAGCTCTTTCTTCAGCTCGTTGGCCTTCCTTTGGGTCTCGGCTTGTGCTTTCTCCAGCTGTTGGTTGAGCTCGTCGACTCGCGAGTTTAGCTCCTTGCAACACTTTTCCGCCTCCGCCTTGTTGTCCTTTTGTTTCTGCTCCAGTTGCTCGATGCGCTGCGCTATGTCCTTTAGCTTCCTCTCCAGATCAGCTTCCTTGGCCTTTAGTTCATCTCGGTTCCGCGTGTTGTCCTCGATTTGTTCGTTAAATTTGCGGTTAAGCTCAGACAATTGCTTAGCCAAATCGGCTTCCATGGCTTTAAGATTGTCCGTCAACTGATCGCAGCAGGTTTTTGTGTCCTTGCCGATCAGCATTTTCATTCTGTCCAGGATGCTGTCCAGATCCTTGCCAATGTCGCCGCTTGACTCCAGCGGCTTGCCCACGCCAATGCCACTGCTGGCCGATAGGCTCGTCATGTCCTTCAATATCTTCTCCATGGTGTCCTTTTCATAGAAACAACAGTGCTCGTCTCCGATCTGCTCCGGGCGCTTAGTATGCAAGGCATCTAATAACTTGCCTAGCTGCTGATTGAGGCTCGTAAGTTTCGCATTTCTCACCACCTGCTCGTTGATCCAGCGTGCAATCTCTTCATGACTTTCACATGTTGTTCTTTTTGTGACAACACGACCGTAACCATGTTCATTCGATCGAAAGTTAACTGCTCCGTTGTCGTCATAGTCGTAATACCTGAATGCCTCCATTTGCAAATTGGCTGATAAGAGCAGCAGCCACAATTGCAGCGACGTCATCAAGAACTGTGCACGAGATTGTTTACAGGTCTTTTGGGTTGTTCTCTTCTCCAATTTTATAGTTAATATGACACTCACCATTGTTTCTTGCGATTCTCGACGTTGTGCCTCCAAGGGATTCTGTGAAACTGACTCAATTGTTGGGGAACACTGGACGCAATTAGTGCACACTCTTGACCATAATCGATTTCCATGCTGTGCGTTTTAATGACCGAGAGGTGCAACTGAAGTATGCAGAAAGAGAAGCAGAAAAGCATTACCTGGATTCATGAGAATCTCGTAGAAAGGCGCTCACTGAGAGTTGGAGGAAAGCTAGTGAGAAAGGCCATCTTTAAATACTTTTCAGCAATCTTTTTGAGAAAGAAAAGGCATTAGTTGGTTTGCGGTTGCACCTACTTGCAACATTGTTGGTGTTCCTAATTTTATGGTCTCCAACGATCCAAGAATTGGTGCAGAAAGCTCATCGAATAGATTATTTCGGACATGGCCTTATCGAATGAGCTAGCTCAAGAGTATAAATATCTCGCGATATCGTTGTAAACATGCAAACAGATAGCTCAGTCTGTTCAAAAATTCAAGCTGGCAAACATTAGTGCGAGTGTATGACGATTATTTTCATGGTTAAGGTCACTAACTATAGCTGGGTCTCTTGCCCCGGAGGGCTCTTTCATATGATTATTGGGGCGTTGACAAAGAGCAAAACAAAAGAAATACCAAAAAAAAAAAACAAACTCGAGTGCTGTTACCAAACGTCGTAGACTAACAGATACGCTGTAAAAGCAAATGCTCTTCCCCTTTTTAAAGCTGAAACTTAACTTCTTACCTTCTCTTAATCTAGAAATTTAAGGTTTATTGGTTAGGCTAATAGTTAGGATAGGTTATTTTAAAGCAGATTCAGTTGTGGCACATTTACTTTTATCAAATTTCATTGGGTATAGAAATAAAACTCGTTTTGCGCACGCCTTGAATGACATGCGCTATAGATCTATATGTATTGTAAGATAATCTTATTGTTAAGTAATAATTGTGCATGTCGGGCTAGTTTTACTTTTGGCTATTCAGACAACGCGGTCAAGTTGAATGCCCTGAGTTTTGAGTTAGAACCCATTAGGCTAAGACTAAAATGATTTAGAACCCCAAAAAACGAGTTGTCAATTTAAGCCAGCCAGCTATTAAATTTAACAGCTGGTTAAATTAAAAATGCAAATGCGATCGAATAGACGTTCTTCTAGTGCACCGGAAACGCAAAGTTCTGCTACAGCTATAGCTATTGAACTTCGATGATGGCAGATCGGATCAATGAAAATATCGTTGGCCAAGCGGAAGTGCCCAAAGCTACAAACAAGTGTCATAATTACGCACAAAAGCAAACCGAAAATATTTAAAAAAATAACAAAAAAAAAAAAGAAAAGAAACTAAGACGTCGTCACGAGAGACATAGAGAATGGTATCATCCGAAGAGCTGCGCTCGATGATTTGTGAATGGCTTCTGTTTAGCCATGACGTCGGGTTATTTACAGATCTTTTCGACTGCCAATCAACCACTTAATGTTTTAATGA